CGATCATGCCTGCAATGTGACGAAGCACACTACACCGATCAATGTGGCATGTCTGTATCTCTCAGCTTGCCGCAAAGAATAGCGTTCGTTGAGAGTCATAAATTGTACCACTCGTGTTTAAAGCCTAACGCCGACGCAATTACCTGTAGGTCATGTAAGACATGTAGTGTCGCGCGATGTTCCATGCACCACCACCCACTTCTGCATCGACAAGAAGTAAGGACTGATAGGTTTCCGATGAAGGCGGACGCAGAGCCTAGTACCGATACAGCCCACTGCCATTCAACGTACTGATCTGAACAAGTTGTGGCCTTAGGAGTTTTACCGGTCAAAGTGTTTAGATCTCGCAGGTCAGTGACCACGTATGCCTTCCTGGATACCGGCTCTGACACTACGCTCATAAATGAAAACCTAGTAAACCAATTAGACCTTTGTGGCCAGTGAGCAGCGTTGTCCGTATCCACCGTCATCCAGACAGCCGAAGTGAGTTCGGAAGTGGTAGAATTCCAGTTAGGTGCGTTAGAAGGACAGGAGCGACTAGAAGTAAAATAGGCCTTGTCCGTCATTCATCTTCCCAACCCGAAGCGTTTCCTCTTATATAAAGATGAAGCCATAGTTTAAGAGCATTTACGTGACGTCGAGTTTCCCTTTGTCGACGGAGAGAAGGTATCACTTCTCATCGGGATGAACGGACCTGCTGCTTACTGGGTACTTGAACATCGATACAGTGGACTGGAAGACCCCTAGGCTGTTGGAACTCCCCTCGGGTGGGTACTCATGGGATCAATATCCGGCCAAGGTCGGACTCATAACGTAAATGTCGAGTTTTCGAGCGAGAAGGAGTCCATCATAGAAAGACTAGAATATATGTGGAACTTCAACTTCGGTGAACCCAAAACCCTGGAAGGGGCGCACTCAATAGAAGATAAATAGGTGTTGACCCTGTTTGACGCTCAGACGCACTTGATTCAGGGACACTTAGAAGTTCCCCTACTTTGGAGAGAAGTTTCGCCCTGTCTGCCCAACAACGAGCCTATCGCCCGTAGACGATTTTATGCCTTGAAGAACCGCTTCACAAAAAATCCTGAATATAAAGATAGGTACGTACAAGCAATTTCAGAGTGCATTACGAACGGCTACGCAGAACTTGTTGTACCGACATCCACCTCCGTAGCTGGAAAACTTTGGTACCTACCACATCACTCGGTAGTAAACCCAATGAAACCAGATAAGTTGAGAGTAGAGTTTGACTGTGCCAGTCGGTACAGGTGTACGTCTCTCAATCCCCAACTACTGCAGAGACCAGACCTGACTAACGGGTTATGTGGGGTCTTGACCCGATTCCACGAGTTTCCATTTGTAGCTGTGTCGGACATGGAAGCCACGCTCCACCAAATCCGAGTGCCAACGTACCAACGTTCATGTTTGAGTTTTCTCTAGTGGATGGACGGTGAATTGACACGTAACCCTGAGGTTTATCAAATGACGGTATATCCCTTTGGAGCTAGCTCTTCCCCATGTGCCGCTATATATGCATTAAACCAATCAATAAAGCAGACGACAAACTTGTCACAGGCTTTCGATGTCGATTACTTGCGTCGTCGCTTCTACGTTGACAATTGCCTGATCAGCCGCGAATCTGCTCAAGTTCTTACGGATGTAGTTTCTGGCCTGCGAAACGCCTTGCTAACCCACGGCTTTCGCCTAAATAAATGGCGAAGCAACTCGACAGAGGCTCTCCTAGATACCCCCGAGAAGGAACGAGTGGACAAGGGCATGTGTCTCGATCTTAAACCAGCCGATACTCACAGAACACTAGGTGGTGAGTGGAGCAAGGTTGCAGACACCTTCAACTTCACGGTCAAGTTGCCTGAAATTGTGGCCACCAGAAGGGCTATGCTTTCTTATACCTCAGCCCTCTACGACCCACTTGAAATTGTTGCCCCTGTTCTGTTGCCGGCCAAAATGCTATTACAGAAATTGTGCCGAGCCAACCATAGATGGGACGACAAGATTGACCATGACCATAGGAAACGGTGGTTTAGCTGGACGAGACAATTCCAGACTCTTATCGATATTCGGATACAGTGCTGCTTGGTACCATTGAGTATAGGCGCCGTCGACTACACGGTTTCTCAGACGCGTCAAAGAGTGGGTATGGAGCAGTCGTCTACTTTCGTGCAATGACGAAATGCGGCGCTTCACTTACGACGTTTTTTTGGGGCAAGTTCCGCGTTGCATCTCTGTTGTAACCGCGGTGTGTTCCTGTGTCAACACCGGTTATGTTCCCTCAGTGCGTGTTAGGAAGAGAAGACAGAATGGGATAACAACTAGTACTTTACTGTCACTTGTACTAGTACATGAACTCTGGTCCGTGTGTCCAGTAGTCTCGTCTAGTCGGCAGCGTGTCCACAACAGTGTCCCCGTTCTGCTCGCGCCTCGCTATTTAAGGGGCAGTCGCCATTGCTTTCCATTGGCTCTTCAGTGGTCGTGCTCACTCCGCTAACGCACGCCTGTGTGTCTGTCCTCAGCGTGAACTCACTCGGCTCGGCTCGGCTCCAGTGCAGTCTGGCCTTCTGGCAGTCCGCCTTCTTTGTCCAGGCATAATGTCCGCCCTTTGAAGGTCGCGTTACTTGTTCCTTCCGGCGTGACCTCGGACTGTCTGTGTCTCTGTCTGGGTGACGTGCACGGCCACCCTAACAACCTCTTAAGGTCGAAACTATACCAAGGTTGGAGCTTACCGCTGCGGTTCTCGTTGGCAAACTGGTCAAACAGGCCGAAACAGAATTAACACTAACAACTGATTGCAAGTTCTTTTGGACGGATTGGATGGTCATCTTACAGTTAATAAGAAACACCACGTCACGTCTTGAGACATTTGTAACAAACCGAATCTGTACTATATTAAGTTTCTCAGACGCGTCAGACTGGCGATACGTAAATTTCAAGAGCAACCCGGTGGACGTATCGCAGGTGGTTAAATAAGTTAAACTCTAGCAAGTGCGATTTTTAGACCATGGCTACTTAGTAGAGAAGTCGTTGGAGGTCAGAATAGGAGGAATAGTTTATTGTGTACACAAAGGAACGAATAATATTTGGAGAGAAGTTGGACTTCGGAGCACACGTCATTCCGCTGGAGCGCCGTGGTCCTAAGTGATGCCTGCCGGCTGAGGATGGGGCAAAAGGGACTTGTTCGAGTGATGCTTGGGCGGCCGCGAGAACCTAGACGCACGTGT